GCGTTCCGGCTGGATGTCAGGTGGAGGTAAGGCAGGTGCAGAGCGGCGCGGTGGACAACCAAGAGGAACAATCGCAGGTTCTGCTCCTTCTTCTGCGTCTTCTTCCCCCTTTGGTCCTCGCAAGAAGCTCCCCAGCCTTCACCCAAAGTGCCCCAGCCGCTTGTTTCACCGCCAGATGCGGCGCCCCAGCCGCCAGTGTTGCCGCCAGTTGCTGCGCCCCAGCCGCCGGTGTTGTCGCCAGTTGCTGCGCCCCAGCCGCCGGTGTTGTTCCCCATCCGCCAACGCTTCCCCACCCCCCTTCATTGGAGGCGCTCTTCTCTTCGTCCTCCCAGGCGAGCGTTCCGCGCAACTCAGCGAGGCTATTCTGTCGAAGCTCCTCCGCTTCGCGTCGCGCCAATTCCTCTTCTTGCGCCACTATCAGCTTCTTCTTCGAGTCGTGCTGGTGAGAGTATATCTCCGCTGCCTTTTCCTTGGTGTAAGGCCGCTCTGTGCCGTGCGCATCGAAAGTGCCGATGCCAACGCCGCGAAGCATGCCTTGGAGGTGCTGAGATGCGGGTCCAGGGAGGGGGTGCTCCGGCGTGCCGAAGACGATGCGTGTCCCGATTTCCAGTTCCAGGTTTGACATCCCTTCCTCCGGTGGTGCTTCACGTTCTGCTTCGATGATGACAGCGAGGCCACGGCCGGCAATAGCGCTCGCTGAGGACGTGGGCGTACGGCAGTCCCTGCAGACGCCGTCTGGGTCAGGGTCGTGCAGCGCTAGCTCGCGCGGATGTGGGTGATGCGGCACCCATGGTCGTCCATCTAGATGTTTCCAGTCACGGCGGTGGATGTGCTCGAAGCGCAGGGGAACGATGTCTATGAGTTCCTGCGAGTCGCTGGTGCAAGCGGGAATATCAAAATCGAGGACGTAGACTCCGTTCTCGGCGTGGGCTCATCCAATGTGCTTGTGCGTCTTGTCCAGCATCGTGAAGTAGAGCAGGATGTTGCGCGTCTCGGGGTCGGTGCTGAGGTCGATTCCGCAATCCATGAGTTGCGCCGCCGAGAGGAGATTGAAGCGTAGGTTCTGAACGATGAGCACATCGTTCAGCGTGATGTGCGTCCTGCTCCCTCGGGCCTTGAGCACAACAATGTGTTGCGCGCTTGCGCGCATGCGCGTGTTGTCGGTGACGTAGGTGACGACGGGGGTGGCAACGGCGTTGGATATGTAGCGCTCGAAGCCCACCATGTGCTGCCCACAGCAGCTATCCAGGTACCACGTGTTGTAGCGCCTGTTGTCGTTACGCGCGAGCAGTGCCAGTCGCGGGGTAACGATGAGCGGTGTGTCGACTTTGAGGAATTGTTCGCGCGCGATCCAATCGATCGGTGCCGGCCGCATATCAGGTACGTGCGGAGGGCTTTCAAGCAGCGGGACTGGGAGGTTCCAGTCTTGTTTGTCGTCGTCGCTGAAGTCGTGACGCGTGCTGAACGGGTTGTTGTTCGAGAACGCTCCGATTGGGTGAGGTGCTGGCTCAGGTGACGGTGAGCGAGCGCGAGGACGACGCGATCCACTTGTCATTGTCATGTTTCCCATGACATTGCGAACGTGAGAAGTCTGCAACGGCTGCTGCTGCTGGTGCTGAACTGTTAGGTTCAGGCTGCGCGATGGGGATTGATACCCCTCGGCGGGACGCGTGTCGTGATTGCGTCTTGGCGGCCGGACCAAGTGCTCGGGTTGGTCTGGCGAGGGTGAGATCAGGATTTGCATCGATCTGCCAAGTGCCCGTTTCTGCAGATTTTGCAGTAGAGGCGCCGCGGCCGTCGCTCTTCAGCATTGTCGGCGTCGAAGGCGAGGCGTTCCCTGTCTCGTCGTTTAGGTGGCGCCAAGCGTCGACGGCAGGAGCAGGCGTAGTCGTGTACGATCGAATGTTCAGCTGTTCCGCCGGCGACATGTTGCGCAGTAAGACGACGTACGCCATCAGGGACTCGTTGTAGTACTTTGCCCAGGCGTCGTCGGTATCTTCAGTAGGTCCCGAGTAGCTCCCATCGAAATAATGGAAAATCTGCGCGTTTTGCAGTAGCAGCTCCAGCTCGAAGCTCCAGGTATAGAAATCTCTGCCGTAAAAGCACACACTTGTCTTTATTTTTTATATGCTCAAAAACCTTGATTGCGCAGAGAGATTTGCTTCTTCGCTGGGACGGGGAGTCTTGGGTGTTGAGCCATTTGTGTCGAGGGAGAAGGTGTGCGGGGCGGAGTTTTGGCCATTCGAGGCCGGTTGAGAGGGTTGGGAAGATGTCCCCGCGTCGCCATTCCGCAATGTTTGGAGTCCTTGCTCCAGGCTCGTGAGTCGCTGAAGCAGTTGTGCGAGGACGGCGGTTCCAATCGTCGTCGTTTCCTCGCTTGTCGCAGCCGGGTTGGTATGCGCTTCAGCAGTCAGATTTGTCTGACCTCCAGATCCTCCGGCCATTCTCACACGCGAGCGTGTGCCGGACCCCACTTTCAGATTTAGAAGATTTCGGAGGTGGCAGTGCGAAGGATTCCCGAGTCGCTCTCATACCATGCTACGATCAGATGTTGATCGAACTCAGGATCAGCTCAGGAAGTTTCGCGCAGAACATAACTAGTGGTGGTGGTGGGCCCTTGACCTCAATAGCATGGTGAATGTAAATGGTTGAGATAATAAAAACATGCAAATACATCACTATAAGCAAGAGTACAGGGGAATACAAATCGACCTAACTAGCCATGTACTCTAAGGGGTACATTCCCTTATTACAACGAATTGCAACCGTGCGACTCCAGACTGTTACGAAACTGTACGAGCAGAATCCTCGTCACTGCTGCTGCCTGATGCTGTCTGCCCGACGGTCCAGATGTTTTCGTAACCGTGCGACCCTTCGCGTCACTTCCGCCCTTTCGTCTTCATCCTCGGTAGTGCGTGTTTCGCTTGCTGCGGTGAGGAGTGCAAAGTAATGTTTCAATAATTACTATTCGTAACACGGCAGTCATCCGCTGACATTGAGCTTCGGCAGCCATGCGCTTATCTCAAGCCTCGATAAATTGTCAACGGGATTCGAGGGTGGTCGCTTTACTGTAGCCATCCGGGCTGATGCGCAAGCCGAACTAGGCCCATGTAGTACTCGGGTTGTTAAGTCACAATATTTCCTTTTTTAGTTTAGTTTACCGGTCAATGATGATCTACTTCACTAGCATATTAAGTTACCTGTCAATAATTGTCCCCCACCGCATGGAACCTCATCCTGTGCCTGAGTTTTGTGGTAGGTTCGGTCACCCCCTGGCGCTAGGAGGTTTGTTGACATAATTGATGGTCACATTATCGCCTGAAACGGCTTGGTGCGGTGCTGACAGTGGGCGGCTCCGAAGCAAACTCTGCTTCGGAGTCCGCAGAAAAACTGGTTCCGTTACTGGAATACGGAATTGGGGGCACTGCCTGGTTCGCCCGTGTTTCAGTTCGAGGTTCGGGTTGGAGGTATCGAGTAAACTCGAGTACTGTAGATCCGTGCGTGCACCAGCCTCGGCTTCCATTCCATCTGTCAGAAAGAACTCAGAACAGAAGCTCCTCCCAGGCGCGTCCTTTCAGATCTTTCAAATGTGGGCCCTCTTCCAGGCCAACCGTTCAGTGCTGTGGCAACTTCCACCCTTCCAAGTTACTCTCGTTTCCCCTGCCACCTTTCCAAGAGTTCCTGCGTGACAACTTCAAGTTGTAACTTCACCACTAGTAGGGTATTGTTAGTGCAGTAGCAGATTCAAATCAGCCGCGCCATCCCAAAAATGCATGGAAGCTAAACCTACTTTGAAGCTAATTGGTAGTTACTTTGTGGTTGGTGTCGAGAAATCAGCCCTGTAGTTACTGGCGAACATACTGAATCACGGGATGCGAGGCTTGGGGCCTCCCGAACGTAAACCTTCTGGAAAGTTACTTGCAGGCTGGAACGAATGTGTAATCGGCGAAAGGCCCGATCAGTTGGGAAGTCTCACGAGAAGGTGTAACTCAGCATTAGCGAACGGCTTTGTCGCCTTTCATTTGTTCGTGATTTCTATCAGCAGTAATTGCGATCGTTTTCATTGGTCGAAATCAATGTAGGTTGATGGCCGCGCCTAATCACAGCATTTCGCGCGTAATAGTGTCAGTCGCCTCTGGCGTTTGTTATTGGTGTTGGGTTTGTGAGAGAAAAGCTCATGTCAGTTGATGTCAAATCCATCGCGTTATCTCAGCCGTCCTATACTCGACAGGTGTCCGAAATTTGAGAGTTTTCTCCACACATTTCGGAATGTACATGGTCACGTGGGCGTTCAGACGAACGCCACCTTGGCAAGAAAGTAGTGGTGAATAACTTACCAGTATTCGTAACAGTTACGTTGTTACTTATCGCGTTACATTTGACAGTTAGTACACTTCCATATAGGCATATATCAAATGTTTATCATAGCCTACAAATAGCATATTTATTTTGTATTATGGTGAATTAGTTATTAGATATTATATAATACTGATAATTTATATTGGTAATTAGATATTACTAAAAGCAAATTACAAATTAGGTCTAAAGACAACAATTAGCAGAAACTACAAACACGTGCACAAAAGCACGCACTCACACAAACTACAGCAAACTACCAAGAGTTGGGCCGACACACACACTTGCACTCTACGCGTTAGGCACTCATACACTGCAACCGTCTTAACATTAGGGGCCCTGCAATCCCGGCAGCCCCTCGCAACTGATGAAGACCCTCTTCGTTGCCTCGTTAAACTTCCACGCTTTGTACTCAGCCTGCCACCAAGGACCCGTCGCAGGACTCCGGTTCTGAACAGCAAAAGCAACGGCGTTGTGCACGTTGGAATGGTAGATCGCAAGAGCACGCTTGTTGTCAACTGAGCTGCGCGACATCTCTTCGTTCTTCAGGAGCTTGTACTCAACCTGCAGCACCAAGAAGGGGATCCTTAGAGCAACGACAGTAATGGCAAACATTCTCATGCATGCTTCAAAAATTTACATACCCCTAGCAGGAAGAAGGCGATCTGCTTGAAACGGAGGACTAAGACAGCATGCCCCGGCCTCTCAAACGAGTGGAAGATCGCAAGGGTGAAAAAGTCAGAGGCGAAAGGGATCCCCAGTCGATTATGATGCCACGTCAACAAGTCCCACGAAAGAGCACCTGTAGGGTGCGGAAGGTTGGAAGGGTGTGGGTGTTGAGGTCAGGATGGGAGAGAGTTGTGAAATCAATTGAATGTTCATTGCATCCCACGCCCACAGCAGTGCAGCGGGCTGCCTGCGGGGGGGATGGAGAGCACAGGCATGTGGGCAGTGGGTGGGGAATCAAGTGGTGGGAGGGGAGTTTTTGAATCATTGTGGCCTTGCATCCCACGCCCACAACAATGCAACAAGCTGCCTGCAGCATACGGTGAGCACAGGCAGTGAGCACAAAGGGGTGGGATCCAGTGGTGGGAGGGGGGTTTACTCCACCTTGCATCTCACGCCCACAGCAGTGCAACATGCTGCCTGCACGGAGATGGTGAGCACAGGCAGTGGGACTTGGGTGGGGATCAATTGGTGGGAGGGGAGTTTAACTAAGGGCACGCCGCCTTGCATCCCACGCCCACAGCAGTGCACCGGGCTGCCTGCAGGGTGATGGTGAGCACAGGCAGTGGGACTTGGGTGGGGATCAATTGGTGGGAGGGGAGTTTAACTAAAGGCACGCCGCCTTGCATCCCACGCCCACAGCAGTGCACCGGGCTGCCTGCATGGGGATGGTGGGCTGGGGAAAATGGTATTGGAAGATGCAAGGTAAGAGTTGACGGGAAAACCGAGATGCTGTGACAGCCTAACTGCCATCTGCTAGCCAGGGTTTGAGCAGTCTGTTGGGGAATGGTGTAGCCATCATCTTACTAGCAGGGTAGGAGGCACAGAACGCCGCAGGCGACAGCGTTCCGATCTCGACCCGGTTGCGGTCCGGACGTTTGATGCGAATGTCAAATCTTTCGTACAGCAAGACACGACCCGTGGTGAGGGTCTTGTTCCTCGCATCCTGAAGCTTCTTTCGAAGGTGCCTAGGCCGAGCCGTTTCGTTCTCCATGACAAGGCGCAGGTTAGCCACTCCCTCAGGATCTGTGATGTTTAGAGCCGTGCAGAGGGCGGTGATGTTGGTGTCCCGCGGCGTCCAATACTCCAGGTCCACATCCGAAGTTTCGAAGTAAAGGATCTCCACAGCTCGACTCGCGGCCCCCTGACACGGGAACATGGGGGGTGATAGGTGGTTAGAGGGATTACTTGTGGGATAACAACGCACTGCCCCCTGCTGTGAAATACACAGCAGGGCAGCAGAAATGGCGCATGTAATAACCTGCAAATGGGCGGTCTGACATGGGTATGGAGTCAATGGTGGGTCCCAATGGGTGAAAACAGCACTAGAAGTCCGTTGCCTCCGCCAAGGACCATACAAACGGTACGGCAGTAGGATGTAATGCACTGGGTGGGGAGTGGGACACCGTTGGGACATTACCTTGAACCCATTGTGGATATCTGGCATGCTGGCCAACGCGTCAGCGTACCGATGCGCCCACGTCCGCTGCATGCTCGACAGTTGCTGCAAGTCCAAAATAGTTCCCCGGCTGTGGGCCGTCCTGACCGCATTTATGATAGCCACCCGATTCGGTTCCACGAGTAGAGTTCTCGGGAACGACGCCTGGAGCGTGTTTCCTGCCACGCCATTAGGAGTAGGCGCGCTCGGACCAGCCGCTGCAGCACCACTTCCAGCCGCTGCAGCACCACTTCCAGCCGCTGCAGCACCACTTCCAGCCGCTGCGGCACCACTTCCAGCCGCTGCAGCACCAGGACCAGCCGCTCCCATACCGTGAGCATCAGCATCACCTGAGGAGTTGCCAGGGTTGCTCGCTTCGTCCGGAGCGTCTTCGCTGGTATGGTTAGCAACACCGTGCGACAGGCGACGGTTCTCATTTTCAGCTTCCATAAGGCGGCGGCGCAGCTCACGTGCCTCAGCCTGAGCAGCATCGAACTCTTCCCGGGAGATAAGGTCCACTCCTTGTCCCGCTTCCTCATCGGCATCACTATACTCATCTAGCCCCTCGTAACCAGGCTCAGGTACCTGAGGTTCCATCTCCGGGAAAGCTTCAGGGTCTAGGGGCTGCATATAGTCAGTCGGGGCGCCATCATCCCCATACCCAGTAGAAGGGGTATGCAGACCCTCGGGTTGCATCGGTGCCTGCTGCTGTTGCTGCTGCTGCACATGCGGCGAAGATGGCACATCCGCGGGCAGCTGTTGCTGCTGCCCATACGGTGAGGCATGCAGATCCGTGGCGGGCTGCTGCTGCTGCTGCCCATACGGTGAGGCATGCAGATCCGTGGCGGGCTGCTGCTGCTGCTGCCCATACGGTGAGGCATGCAGATCCGTGGCGGGCTGCTGCTGCTGCTGCCCATACGGTGAGGCATGCAGATCCGTGGCGGGCTGCTGCTGCTGCTGCCCATACGGTGAGGCATGCAGATCCGTGGCGGGCTGCTGCTGCTGCTGCCCATACGGTGAGGCATGCAGATCCGTGGCGGGCTGCTGCTGCTGCTGCCCATACGGTGAGGCATGCAGATCCGTGGCGGGCTGCTGCTGCTGCTCCTGCAGTCCATTAGTCGAGGTTTGCAGACCCGTGGTGGTCTGCAACTGCTGCTCCTGATGTCCAATGGTTGGGGTGAGGCGAGGAGAGTTGGGCAGCTGCTGCTGCTGATGTCCAATGGTTGGGGTGAGGCGAGGAGAGTTGGGCAGCTGCTGCAGCTGCAGTCCAGTGGTTGGCGTGGCACGAGGAGAGTTCCGCTGCTGCTGCTGCTGCTGCTGCTGCTGCTGCTGCTGCTGCTGCTGCTGCTGCTGCTGCTGCTGCTGCTGCCCATACGGTGAGGTAGGCAGACCAGTGGTGGTCTGCAGCTGCTGCTGCTGCTGCTGCTGTCCGGTGGTTGGGGTGGCACGAGAAGAGTTCCGCAGCTGCTGCTGCTGCTGCTGCTGCTGCTGCTGCCCATACGGTGAGGTAGGCAGACCAGTGGTGGTCTGCAGCTGCTGCTGCTGCTGCTGCTGTCCGGTGGTTGGGGTGGCACGAGAAGAGTTCCGCAGCTGCTGCTGCTGCTGCTGCTGCTGCTGCTGCTGCCCATACGGTGAGGTAGGCAGACCAGTGGTGCTCTGCAGCTGCTGCTGCTGCTGCTGTCCAGTGGTTGGGGTGACGCGAGCAGAGTTCCGCTGCTGCTGCTGCTGCTGTCTAGATGTTGGCGTGGCGCGAGCAGAGTTGGGCCGCAGCTGATGTTGATTTGAGCCTCTGCGAACCGTCGTGCGGCGAGGACCCGTCCGGCGGCCCCCAGTCGTCCCAGTTGTACTCGCCGGGTTGTGAAGTCCTCCCAGGGACAGCTGGTTGAGTGGAAGGGTTCTCTCGCCTGCACATCATCAAGACACACACATTCTTAGTATACAGCACCGTAGGCTATTTACGTACAACAAACCAAACTCTCGCGGAAATCAGCTTACAAGTACTAAGTGAAACGTCTTGAATAGTGCTTACCATTGCTGGGTGTTGTCGCCGCCGTTGCCTGCACCGATTCTTCACGGTCCCCTTCTCCTAGAGCACGAACTGAGGCCAACACGGATGAGTACCGGTTATTTGTGCCTCTACCAGGTCTATCAAACCGGCGCCCTTCGGCAGTATCCATGGTCGATCTAACACCACATCTAAAACGTTAAGAAACATACTATCAGTATGTTTCAACGTGCTTTTTATAGTCGCCAAGCCATCACCAGCAATGTATCTATCCGTCGCCAGGTTCACGGACGCACCGCTCTTGAGCTCGAGTGGTTCTCTGCGGTTCTTAAACCGCTCGTGCTGCAGCGTGCTAACCTTCGAATTTCGAAATTTGAAAACGGGTCGAAACAGCTCTCAGGCCCTCTACGGTTGTGTCTATGTTTTGAGATACGTGCGTGGGTAAATCGGCAACCGCGCGTGATACCAGCAGATGTGACGAAGGTTTCGTTGAAACGGAAGGTGTAAAAACGATGGTCCAGGTTCTTACCTGGTAGAGCCCTCGACATAATGTCGCCAGCGGGGAAATTGTTACAGCAGCCTGCTTCCGATTGGCGAGAAACAAGCGCACCGCAGGGTCGATTTGCAGTCCAGTTACAGAAACGGGCTGGTATCTCGTGTCGCAAGTTCATCCCCACCGAACAAGCATGACAGATACAATGGCGCGGAAGCAGGGGAGGGTCACGACGTGGGCCAGCTGGACAGGTTCTCAGTCAGCCTACCAGTAGCTGGGGGGAACGACGACGGCGTCGCTACCACGGGCAAGAGGGAGCGACGCTGTATGGTCAGGGCATGGTTGCGTGGCGCCGGTATCGCGGGGCATCGGCGCGGGGAGCCCACGCCAGCTGGCTCCCCCGCCCCGATAACGCTATGGGCTTGCTTAAGGGTGGGGGCGAGGTGCTCGCGTGTCTGGCAAAGCCTCGCGGGTTTCACTACCTATCCTAGTCAGCACAGGAAGAATCAGGTTTCTTCCAGCAGAGGGAGTTGGAGGTACTCGACGGGCTGCAACAATCAGAAGTGTCGCACGGATTGAGGCAAGGTGCCTAGATTCCGTCATAACATAACAGTGGTTAAAATATTAACTTTAAGAGTTGAGTTTTAAAAACACTTGACACCATATCAAAGAGGTGTTTAGGGTACGAGTTCAATCACGATTTCAGGTAAAGGTATGCGCATACGCATCAGCACAAACAACAGGATTAAGATGTTGTTCGCCTAAAGTGCAAATTTGGTTACCTATTGCGCCACCAACATCGTCGTGTCTTGGCCCAGAAAACCAGTTATACTCAGATATGATGATATTCCCCTCGTTCAACAACTTACGGTCAGACGACAGCATTGCGAATTTGGCTGATCAGATGGTTTAGGGAGATGGGCTAACATGAATCTAAGTCAACCATCTATGGAGTAATGTAATCTGTGAAACCCACGTCTACTGTTCTAACAACCTCGGTGTGACATACGGTAGCGATGATGCGTAAGGACCATGACAGAGCGCCATTGACAGAGCCCTACACCATCCTGTGAAATCCCCTCCGCCATTCGACGTTGTGGAGACAAAGTTATACAAGGAACCATGCCTGGTAGGCTGGGAACGTTTAAGTGTTGTCGAATGGCCTCCCGATGATTGTCGCACGCGTATTTGAGAGCATGGATCCCTTAAACATGCTCAAACAAGGCTACCATCCACGTATCGCGTCATTCGGGCAACGTGAGAGGCTTCGTCGCTGCCCAGAACAAAACTATACAGGGTACCGTACAATGACATGCAGGGAGCGAACAAGTGTTGTCGAATGACGTCCCGGTGATTGTCGCACACGTATTTGAGCGCATGGATCCCTTACATATGCTCTAACAAGGCTACCATCCACGTATCCTGTCATTCGGACAACGTGAGAGGCTTCGTCGCTGCGCAGAACAAAGCTATACAGGGTACCGTGCAAGGACAGGCTGGGAACGCACGAGTGTTGTCGAATGACGTCCCGGTGATTGTCGCACACGTATTTGAGCGCATGGATCCCCTTACACATGAACTAACAGGGCAACCATCCTCGTATCGAGTCATTCGGACAACGTGTGAGGCTTCGTCGCTGCGCGGAACAAAGCTATACAGGGTACCGTGCAAGGATAGGGTGGGAAACGTATGAGAGTTGTCGAATGACGTCTCGGCGATTGTCGCACACGTATTTTAGAGCATGGATCCCTTACACATGCCCTAACAAGGCTACCACCCACGTATCGTGTCATTCGGACAACGTGAGAGGCTTCGTCGCTGCGCAGAACAAAGCTATACAGAGAACCGTGCAAGGACAGACAGGGAGCGAACAAGTGATGTCGAATGACGTCCCGGTGATTGTCGCACACGTATTTGAGAGCATGGATCCCTTAAACATGCCCTAACAAGGCTACCACCCACGTATCGTGTCATTCGGACAACGTGAGAGGCTTTGTCGCTGCGCAGAACAAAGCTATACAGAGATCCGTGCAAGGACAGACAGGGAGCGAACGAGTGTTGTCGAATGACGTCCCGGTGATTGTTGCACAAGTATTTGGGAGCATGGATCCCTTACACATGATCTTACAAGGCTTCCATCCACGTATCGTGTCATTCGGACAACGTGAGAGGCTTCGTCGCTGCGCATAACAAAGCTATACAGGGTTTCGTGCAAGGACAGGCTGGGAACGAACGAGTGTTGTGGAATGACAGCCCGGTGATTGTCGCGCACGTATTTGAGAGCATGGATCCCTTACACATGCTCTAACAAGGCTACAATCCACGTATCCTGTCATTCGGACAACGTGAGAGGCTTCGTCGCTGCGCAGAACAAAGCTATACAGGGTACCGTGCAAGGACAGGCTGGGAACGCACGAGTGTTGTGGAATGACAGCCCGGTGATTGTCGTGCACGTATTTGAGAGCATGGCTCCCTTACACATGCTCTACCAAGGCTACCATCCACGTATCCTATCATTCGGACAACGTGAGAGGCTTCGTCGCTGCGCAGAACAAACCTATACAGAGAACCGTGCAAGGACAGACAGGGAGCGAACAAGTGATGTCGAATGACGTCCCGGTGATTGTCGCACACGTATTTGAGAGCATGGATCCCTTAAACATGCCCTAACAAGGCTACCACCCACGTATCGTGTCATTCGGACAACGTGAGAGGCTTTGTCGCTGCGCAGAACAATGCTATACAACGATCCGTGCAAGGATAGACAGGGAGCGAACGAGTGTTGGCGAATGACGTCCCGGTGATTGTCGCACACGTATTTGGGAGCATGGATCCCTTACACATGATCTTACAAGGCTACCGTTCACGTATCGTGTCATTCGGACAACGTGAGAGGCTTCGTCGCTGCGCAGAACAAAGCTATACAGGGTACCGTGCAAGGACAGGCTGGGAACGAACGAGTGTTGTGGAATGACAGCCCGGTGATTGTCGCGCACGTATTTGAGAGCATGGATCCCTTAAATATGCTCTTACAAGGCTACCATTCACGTATCGTGTCATTCGGACAACGTGAGAGGCTTCGTCGCTGCGCAGAACAAAGCTATACAGAGAACCGTGCAAGGACAGACAGGGAGCGAACAAGTGATGTCGAATGACGTCCCGGTGATTGTCGCACACGTATTTGAGAGCATGGATCCCTTACACATGCCCTAACAAGGCCGCGGAGAGTCACTACACAACGGGAGTGGACTACGGAGGAAGGCA